AAATAAAAACAGAAGACAGTTTTATATACAGACATGATTGCTAATGGAGACCCCCCCACCCTCCCCAAGTGATACATTCCAACATCCATATAATGTGTAACATATAATGCAATCCAGTTATCATAATGGTCCCTACAGATTATTATGCCTCTCCCCCAAAACTACATATATATATCACTCTATGTATTTGGTATTCACTTATTAAAATATGCTACAATGAGATTTCTTGAATTAATTTATCACTAAATCTACCTAATCTCACTAATTCAATCTACAATGAATTTTAGAAAGGGATAACCATTGGGTAACTCAGTAACCCCAACAAGTTAAAAATGATCTTGTCGAGGCATGTGCTATTTCATCTCAAATCACAGAAAAGACACTATATTCTGCCAAATGTTCAGTCCAGAAGTAAAAGACCAGGATGGACTTTAGAGGGATATTTTTTTCTACTTCAGTAAACAGCACTAAAAATGGCCCAATAGAATAAATTTATTTCTTTTATAGCCTAAAGGAAAAAGAAAGTAATGATATAGAGGTCAAGGTGAAAGGCTGGGGTGCAATAAATCCCATCAATATGCAATTATGTAAATTTATATTTTATATCCCTTCTGCAGTGTAAGTATTTTTTCTTATCTTAACACACTTTGCTCTGATCTGGAGACCAGCAGTCTCTTTCTGCTGCCCACCTCTCTGCTCATTCCTGCTTGCTTCAGTTCCTAATTTTATTCCTCTCTACTATAGCAGTAAAAAAAGCAAAGTTTTCATCTCATGACATGGATACGGGAATAAATAAGAATGAACTATACTAAAAATTCATGGGAGTAATTTATGTTAAAATATTTAAACTAAAAAGAACAGTTTCTATAAAAATTTTGTTCCTATAAAAAAACAGAATTGGAAATCAACAATATTTTTACATATATACATATACTCAGAAATTCACAGAAAGAGTTTTAAAAGTAGATCTAGTGGTTTTTATATATTTTCCAAATCTGGAGAATCTATAGTAGAGAGGAATATGAAAATAAAAGTAATTTGATTCAACTAAAACTGGATGAGAATAAGGAAATACATGGTCCACTACGGATATCAATCCAGTCCTGAGAATCAGAACTGGTTAGCCACAGTTTTTATATTAATACATTCTTGAAGAATACAAAATTTTAACAATGAAAACACTAAGACATTCTTGTCTTTTGAATTAATTTTAGCTTATAAATACCATGTGCTTAGACCCGCTCACATGAACATCACGTGATGTAGAAAATTTTAATTAATCTTCTGTATTATAGCAAAGGTAACTACAAAAACAAAAACAAGAAAATATGAAGAAGACCTTGTTCCCTAGAAGTTTATTTGCTCCTGTTGGTGCCTTTTCCTCGGGATAGATCCAACCCAGAAAGATCATTATCAGAGTTACCACAGACAATATACTCAGAATAAGAACGTAAGGCTTTGAATAGAACCAGAATTGAGATCTAAAATTTAAAGGAATTTAAACACCCTGTTCCACAGAGTAGACAAAAAGAAGTAAAGCGCAATTGTAAACTCGAAGAAGTATGTTTGATTTAAGGTTTTTAGAAGGCATTAATGAATCCTTAATAACCCTGAAGTACTATGAAGTTTTTTTTGTAATATACTGAGGACTACAGCAAATATTCTTTAAAAAAAAAAAATCCAATGTTTGTCTATAGATGGGGACAGGGCACATTTAAAAAACTAGTTCTTAAAAAGTTAAAAAATGGTGTATTTAAAAAAATGGGGGTAGGTCACCCAGTGAAGATAAGTACACCAAGTGTATATTATTAAACTTCATGAAAAATGAAATGTTGCTTGATAAAGTAGTGCAGATGTGCTTTGTTTCATTATCCATACCCATTGCAAAAGTAAAATGGTTTTGATAGTTATTTGAATCCAAAGAATAATGCCCACTCCCCCCACCCCCCACCCCCAAGCACACACACTTTCTCTTCCCTATACCAGGCAATGAGTTACATGATCATTTCTAGAAGTGAATTCTCTTCTAGAATGTGGCTAGGGGCATTCATGTTAAGATTTCAGTATAAAAACATACCCTGAAGAGTTTTATTGCTTGCATACATGACAGCATTATAGATGCCATTATTACAAAAGTGGCTGGTGGCAGTTTTCATTGTTGAGTCCCACTTAAAACCTAGAGATCAGTCTGCACTACATTTCATACTTAATATCCAAAATGGTAGACTTTCAATAAAGCAAAATTTAAGTTTAAAAAATTGGAATGTTTTATAATGAACAGCAGTTTTTAGCAAAGAAATATTTTTTAACTTTAAAGAAAAGATGAGTTGGAAAGCACCAACTTAGAGAAAACAAATTGTAAGACCTACACGATGGGATGCTGGCTTTAATAGGAAAGTAACCAATTACCTTCTTAGGTTCAATCCGTCCTGACTGCTCAGGTGTCTCAGAAAGCAAAAGGCGTAAGTTATTCTTGTAACCAATCATACTTTGAGGTCTTTTGGTTTAGTTGAGTGCTTACTAAATGGCTGACTAAGCTTATTCCTTTGCCTTTCTCCAAATAAAAGCATTAGTGGTTATTTAACCAAAAACAGGTAAGGCTGCTTCATTGCTTCTCTTTGTGCTTGGCTAAAGAACAAGGGGTGGGAGTGAAATTGGTAACTGGATAATTAAAAGTTCTCTTCTTACAATAATATTTCTTTTTTATCAAATTAAAGATAATATTAAGAGCATGATAATAAACATTGTCTTCATGAATATTCTTTCAATAGTCTAAATTAAATAACACAGATATGTATTGAGCCAAAATTTGTCCACTCCAGAAGAACTCACTGAAAGGGAAAGTGTAGTCTTCTTGCTGCTCAAAACAGTTTTCAAAAATAATCTGGCCAATAGATCTTCTAATTGGCCCTTACATTTCCATTGTTCTATCCACATTTACAAAAGTCACCTTCTCCTGGTAATCATTCCATATTTTTATTGCTTCTCTCTACTTGAGATTAAGAAAACCAAAAGCATCATCTATATAGCTATAGTTTAACCTTCTCAATAACCACCCATGAATACACATGTTGTGTGTACGTATACACACACACACACACACACACGGCAACTAGAAAAGAGAAGCAATGTAAAATACTTTTAAGTCTGCCCCTGATTTAATAGGAACAAGTTACCTTTTATCTTTTTTTGGCTCCAAGTATTTGGTTTAATATAAATGATCTTGGTTGGTATTCCTTTTATGGAAGAAGGCAACCCAATCATGTCAGCCATAATTAGTTTATCTGCTCCTTTGCAGAAAAATAAATGTTTCACATTTTCTCAAGAGGGCCTAAATAGATGAGTGAAAATCTCCAACTCTGAGCAAATCTATTCTACATTTACGGTGTAATCCCCAGGCCTAGCTGGCTTGGCTTGGTGGATAGAGCATCATCCTGCAGACAGCGGCTTGATCCCCAGTGCGGGAGGGAGGGTGCAGGAGGCAGCCATTTAATGTTCTCTCTCATTATTAATGTTTCTATCTCTCTCTCCCTCTCCCTTCTCTGAAATCAATAAAAATATACATATTTTTTAAAAAGGTGTAATCCTCAAAGGCAGAGGATAGTGAGGTCATTCTTGTGGATCTCTAGACGATGCATTAAATGTGATAACATTTGAGGAATTACAGGGTAAAAAAAAAAACAACAAAAAAAAAACCCAAAAACGAAAAACAAAAAAACAGATCTAGTTAGAGAAAAGGGTTAAGTTAAATAGCCAACTTAATGTGAGATTTTAATCATAATTACAATATAATGAAGAGCAGCTTTTGTCACAAGAAATTATATTTTGTCTACTATGATTCCCCAGAAAGATAAACGAGAAAGGAATGCTCAGATTCTCTTCAATTATCTTGTACCTCCCCAAAACCTACCATTAAAACATTGCTTTTCAATACTGTGCTCCCCGCCCCCATTTTTTACTGAGGAGGTTTAAAGAATTGAACATAAACTTCCTTTAATATCTATCCAGCCCTCTCAAACATAGGTTACCACATGTGAATTTTGTATTATATCTAACAAAGGAACAGGCCCACATAGTTATCTGGAGTATCTATATATATAAAAGCCTAATATGCTAATTATCCCTCCGACTGTTCGACTGGTCGCTATGATGCGCACTGACCACCAGGGGGCAGGCGCTCTGACCGGTAGGTTAGCTTGCTGCTGGGGTCCTGCCGATTGGGACTGGGTGAGACAGGCTGGACATACCCTGGAGCCCTTCCACTGTCCCTCCCCAGCCCCTATTGTGCATCAGTGGGGTCCCTTGGCCTGGCCTGCACTGTCTCGCTATCCGGGACCCCTCAGGGGATGTCAGAGAGCTGTTTCTGCCTGATCCCGTCTCTAGTTAATTATATAGTCCTCATTTAACCATGCTTAACAGTCTTAGAGGAAAAAAACAGTACAGGAAATGCAGTTTCCTGATGTCCCAATTCTGCTTAAGGTCAGGTATTTTGCACAATCCAGGTTTTTGTGAAGATTTTTGTATATGCTGATATTAACTGTTGTACAATTAGAGGATCATAAAATGAAAAACAACCTGTATGATTTTGACCATTCTGGTGACCAAAATGTACTTTATCTGAGTAAGCAAGACTGAAGCATTAATTAAACCCTCACCTTATATTTAAATAGAAATTATTAGCACCTTCAAAGAGAGGCACTGTTTTAAATAGGCACAGAACAAAAAAAAAATAGTACTTTAAAAATACGGTTGGAATTCACTAGTATATCCCATGCCACATAAATTACTGCTTTTTCTTATTATAAAAATATCAATACCTTTAGATGTCAATCAGTTAAACATTTATCACCAAAAACATTAAGTTTAGAACATGTCCAATTCTAAGATAAAACATGCTTTATATTTTAAAAATAAATTAGAGACAAATATGAACCTAAAGCTGAAGAGAAAGGCATGTATAGTATATAGATATATTTATATTTAATACTATATATACATAATTGCTATATACGTAAGATATTTTATTTTTAGGAGTATTTCTACAAAAACAAATATCTTTTCTTAATAAGTTGAAAGTTTGAACACCAACAACCTGTCCTTTTTCTGTTTTAAAAGGACATACATTATTTATGCAGCTTGAGCTTTATACACTAAATTAAATAAGTTAACACAACAGCCTAAACTGTCCTTGTAATTCTTCTAACCATGGATCTATTTTGGCAACATGGAGGTATATCTTTCAAACTGTTACAAGTCTTACATGTGAAAGAGAAGACATTAAAATAATTCTTAAGTGAAAGTGGCCTATTCTAACCTGATAGTGACATAATCAATTGATACCATTTTCTCCAAGACAAAAGTACATGTTCAAGAAATAGCTCATTAAAAAATGCTCCATTTTTCACATTATTTCCAAAAGTTATTGGTAGAATGGCTCTCCACATTAATTTCACCAGAGTACACAAACATAGGAAAAATAGTCCCCTACCAGATACATTTATGAGCCTATACTTCTCAACATAAAGTGCTAAGAGATGAGTAAGGAGAACTGGGAATGTCTTGAGCGGTGAATCTTGAGACCCCCACACTGTGGTTGGTCCTGGAGTTCAGCATTCTGATTTTTATTTAGGTTCAGGGTTATCGTCCAAGGTAGCTGAATGGTTGTTAGGACCATCAGGTGTCTCACCTGTGACAGCTAGAAAGATGATTTTCAGCCACTTCTGTTTCAGTTCCTCACTGTCTGCAGCAAAGCTGTGCACAGACTTGGACTGGGTCAGTTTGAAACTGTGTGGCAGGTCTGCACTCCTTGGCATATCATCCACATTATAGCCCAGGAGTGGAATGGTGGCCTGGGCTCTGACATCCTAAAGAAAAAAATAATAATACATAGGAGTGTGAGCATGCTATACAAGTCCCTTCATGATGTGTTAGCATGCTCTACAAGTCCCTACTAAAACCTCTTTTCCTACGACTATTCCATACAGACTTGCACTGTGAAGTCTCCATGGTCAGAGCTGGTGAACCAGGAATAGCACAGTGCCTGTACATGATGTCACTGGTAATACTGACTGCATGAATTAATGAATGAGAGTAGACACCTAACTCAGCTAGGATTCATTGACCCAATACCTCCTCTGTGTTAGAGCCTCCCCAGCTCTTCGTTCAGTGAAAAAGGGAAGAATAGTTATCTTATTGTATAAAACCAGCAAATGTTAATGATTCATTACCAAACACAGTTTTACTTGGTGTTTCATTCATTAATGAATCAATTTATTTATGGGCAGGAAAAAGTTATAGGAAAACCCACAAAATAGAATAGAACATATACCTTGGCATTTTAAGTCTATTTCTAAAAAAAACAAACAAACAAACAAAAAAAAACCTAAAAAAACACACACACAAGTTTTACTAGTCTTTAATGTAGATATAGGCTAAAATACAATAGGTACATTGAAAAGTTTATGTATTTCCAGGTGAATGCACAATTGGTATACATGCCCTGTTTTTTTAAGCATTATATACTCCATAGTACCTGGTGCTGCTCTGGTTAGAAGCTAAATCTGCATGTCTGTTGTTCCCACAGATTTATCTCAGATCCATGCACAGACAGTTCTCAAACAACTGTTACTGGATAATGTTAATCTAAGCTTGATTTACATTTTTCTTCCTCTCAATTTCTTTCTCTTTTAGGTATTCCTGTATTCAAGGGGGGTGGAGGGAAAGCTTGCCTGTTACTTCCTATCATTAAAAAGGCTCCTTCTTCTTCCTGCTTCTTCCTCTACTTCACCCCCTTCTCCCAATGTCCTTTCAACTCATCTTTTTTTCAACTCACCTTTTTTTCAAGCCCATAGAATAGGAAAGAGAGAAGGGGAGAAAGGATCCATGGGGTGGAGAAATTATTGGTTATAAAAGGAATCCACAGTTTAAGTAAACTTGAATTTGTTATTATTTTTTCCAATTATAATGAAACTGAACTTTCTTGTTCCATAGAGGGGTGATGGAAGGGTTTTGAGTTCACTATCTAATTGCCTCCCCCGCCATCCGTATGACCTCTGTCCCTTCAGTCAGATGTAGTTCAGATACCTGGGGGGCACCGTACATGTACAGCACAAGAGGGTCTTGTTTGGGGATCACACACCAAGCTTTCTGCCAAGGTTTTGACTTCTCCATATACTGAAGAAAGCTGCACACCACACTGTTTCCAGATACTTCTGCTGATTCAATCTAGAAAAATATAATGGAGTGAGAGTGAGTGAGTGAGATTGAACACAAAACGGGCCAGATAGAGAAGTAATTAAATTTTACAGCACAAGAGGGTCTTGTTTGGGGATCACACACCAAGCTTTCTGCCAAGGTTTTGACTTCTCCATATACTGAAGAAAGCTGCACACCACACTGTTTCCAGATACTTCTGCTGATTCAATCTAGAAAAATATAATGGAGTGAGAGTGAGTGAGTGAGATTGAACATAAAACAGGCCAGATAGAGAAGTAATTAAATTTAGGGCAACATTCATTAACTACAGTGTGTTTATATCAAATGTCTTCTGGGATCACCCAAAAAATTCATCTGCAATTATTATTTAAATATTCATCCAGATCTATTATTAGCATGGAAAAATATCTAAGTCAATTTTAACTGTCTCTATAACCAGACCTTGAATTTAAATGAAGTTACTAGTAAACATTTATTAATTGCTTACTATGCATGCACTTTTCTTAGCTCACTAAGAAATGTATCATTTCATTTAATCTTCACACCAACACCAAGAAGTTACAACTTTCATTATCTATGAGGTTCAGAGATGAAATAGCTTTCCCAAGATCATACATTTAGGAATTGGGATGCTGGGATTTGAGTCTGGATGCAGAGCCTAAACTTTTAACCACAACACATACCAACTTCACTTATGTAAGAATCCATAACAAAAAGGCAAATACTGGCCAGCAATCTTTGTCTTGGAACTGAGATAATTCAAGTTGTAAAAACTTCACTAAAGCCCTGGCCAGTGTGGGTCAGTTGGTTGGGTGTCATCCCATATACTAAAAGGTTGATGGTTCGATTCCTGGTCAGGGCACATGCCTGGGTTGAAGGCTTAATCCCTGGTGGGAAGCATGCAGGAGGCAGCCAATTAATGTTTCTCTCTCTTCATCTCCTTTCCTTTCTCAAATAAATCAATTAAAAAATCTTAAAAATCAATGAATAAATAAAAATTGCATTAACTGTTTGTAGAGCCATTTACAGTTTTCTGCTTTGCCTCCTAAATACATAAATCACTGGCTAAAAAGGGAATAAAACCATTTGACTAAATGATAGTTATTACATACATTATAGAAAGCATCAAATCCTTAGGGTATTGCTCCTCAGTGTCAGTTCAAGAGTGCTGGTTTGTCAAATGTTTAGTTACTGGTTCAAGATAAGCACAGAAAGTAAGAGTAAACACTGAAAAACTTCCATAGAAATTTGACTTTGTGATGATACTCAAGCACATGATTGTGTGTTTTACAAAATTACTGAGCTATCATGAGGTTTGGAAATAAAACTGGCCCTTCATCACAGATAGGTGAAGAAGCACTGGCTGGCAAACTATGGACTACCAGCCCACCATCCGGGAGCTAAGAAAGTGCTTTCAGATAAACATTTAAAATCAATTTGATAATAGGAAACACTAACTTTAGACTCCACTTAAGGGAAATATTACCTTCCCTCCTCCCGCTAAAGAATTCCATTCTTATTACCATATTAGAAAGAAAATTATACTAAATTATTGTATTTTAAATTTTGTCAATGTAAATTTGTGAAAATTTGTTTTCTCTCTTGTTAGAGAAGTAGTAGTCTCAGTTTTGCCTCTTGGCCTGCAAAAACTAAAATAGTTATTCTCTGGCCCTTTACAGAAAAAGTTTGTTAAGACCTTTGGTCTAGCTAGCTCATATAACACTAGTTGGCACAAAGCGAGTTTCAAATATTGCATGTATGTGTGTGTGCACATGTGTTCACATGGTTAAGTAATTGACTCCCCCCAAGTTTTTTCTAGAAAACTCCCTTGAGGTTTTTACTTCATAGTTACAGCCTGAAACTCACCCCTTAAAACAAGTGATCACATTAATTCAGTCTCATCAGTTGCTGTTGTTAAGAACTGAGCCTGTGTCCTTAGGAGCCAATGAAGCATTTCTTTCCCCCCCGACCTGCCTGAAAAAAACCATTTTGGCCTGCCATTCAAGCGACATCTATACACCCTGGAACTCAGAGTTATATTTTAAGTTTGCAGACCTGCACTTTAATCTTAAATGAATCTTGAAGTTCATGATCTTTTTCCAGTTATCCAAAATGACCTTTGTGTACTCTCAAATGCAGAACACTGACCTTGTTCTTTCTGTATGATCCTAACATTCAGCAACACAGAACAAAGGTATGATTTGCTCATCGTTCTCAAAAATTGTTAAATACTAAGAGAAATAACAAAACGTTACTTGTCTTCTTCAGGGTTAAAATACAATTCTATGTCCCTCATATAAAAATCTAAAAGATATCCAACATTTACTATTTCATACCTCTAAAATCCCTTTTCGTTTCTTTTCTTCACTGTCTGCAAATCCACTCAATATTTGGTAACAGTCTTTACAAACTTTGCTCAATTTACCACCATCATACTCCAGTTGAGCTTTGTAATCAGAACACTTCCAACAAACCACCTTAAATTAGAAAAGGTAACGAGGAGTCAATAATCATATTTTAAAAGTAGTAAGATTTAAGCCATAAACATTTACAATGATAATAAATGAGAAAGAGCTATATATAAAAGGCAAATTTTTATTACACTAAGAACATCCCCATGAACATTAGGATTATCATCACAATATTATAGTGCTGTTTGTAATGGGCTGTGCTTGTTCATCTTTTCTTTCTGACCCTAAAGGTAGGAGATCTTCAGAGGCTTAATCCAGACCCTTACTCTTCATACCTCTGGATGTTTCTTGGATATCCCGCCAAAATGCGCTCATGAACTTCCTTGTCCTCAGCGCTCTCCTTCCCCCACCCCACCCTTCCCAACCTGCCCTCCTCTCCTCTTGCTCCCTGTAGTAGAAGATAGCACAGTCATTCAACCAATCATGGCAAGTCATAAACCCAGGGACATCCCTGATACCTCTCCACGGCTCACCCCAAAGAGTCATACTATGACAAAGTCCTGCCAATTTTACCTCCTAGAAAGTTTTCAATCTATCCATTTTCCTACATCTTCCTTGTAATCACCCGAGTCCAAGCTATCAGTATCCCCGTTTGGACTATTATAGCCTCATGATTGCTCCTTGTAGCATTCTTACTGGCTTCCAGGCTTCTGCTCTTATATCCCTCCAAGCTATTTTCCAAATAGCACCAGATGCTCTCTTAAAAATCATAAACTGATATGTTTCTCTCTATTTAAAATCCTTCGGTCTTCCCTTTGCTGTTGGATAATGAACACACTCTACAGTATGGCCTACAAAGTCCTCCATTATCTGCTCCTCTGACTCCCCGTATCTTTAGTGACACTGGCTTCTACGGCCCCAAAGTGCTATGCTCCCTCCTGCCTCATCTTTGCTTCATGAGGTAACTCGTTCATCCTCCATATGTTGACTAAAACTTCACTTCTTTAAGGAAGACTCCTCCAACTTCCAGAACAGAGCATGTCTCTTAGCACTGTGCTACTCAAGTTCCCTGTACTCTTTTTCATGTACTGATTACAAGTTATACTCATATACTTGTGTGATTATTTATGTAATGTTTATTACCCCGACTAGGCTGCAAGCTCTATGAGATTGTTCTTATATATTTTGCTCACCAGCACACAGTAAACATTTATTGAATGCCAAGGAATGAATAATTATAATGAAAATACATATGATTTCTTAGTGAATGGTATTTTCCTTAATTACTATAGGATAATTGTTAATAAAAAAAACAAAAAACTTCCACTTAAAAAATTTATCTTCTTGCTTCTAGAAGCATATCACATTTTTCACCCCCCACCCCCCCCCAATTCATAGTAAACAAACTCTAAGAAATGTAAATATTTGTAAAACTTTTGGTTTAGGTTCACAGCATGTAAAATTCATGACATAATTATAATAAAATTACGCTAGGATTCAGAATTAGACTTGTTTGTATATGTAAACTCCTATGAACTGATCTCTTATTTTTAAATCATATCATAGTATTTTGATGATCCACATTCAAACATTTTTGTTTGTTCACTGAACCAAATATATCAGTACCTAAAATCATTTCAAGCAAACTTGATAGATTTTAAGAAGTCTTCCCCAGGGGAGTGGAGGGAAATGTTTGCTATCACTTCAATTTGACTACAAAATGGTCTTGCTGAGTCAAAACTTAGAAAAAGAGGAAGAATAAATCTATAGTGTGAGGATAATCTAAAAGAGCTATTAATAAGAATAGTTGCACTTAAGCACACTAATAACATATTACACTGCAATGCCTACCCTTCTATTTATTCGTTGCTTTTTAGAAGAAAGTATGTCATCTTTAACAAGGTTTATAAGGCCCTCCAAAACCTGCTGCTACCACTCTCCAGCTTCATTTCATGCTTTGTTCCTCGTCATTCATTCCATATGAAACACCTCAATTTCTGAAAACCTGCTATGTGCTTTCTCTGACTTGAGTTATAACCATACACCTCTAATGGGCACCCAGCAGTCCACCTTTATTTCTCTGACAGGCTCATCTTCCCTGCCCAGAGATGACTATTTCACCCTTAGTCCTTTCTCAAACCTCCTCCACCTTTCTTCCTTCCCCCTTCACTTCTAGCTGATGACATTTTCTGCTACCTCGATGAAAAGATACATAGCACCAGACCTAAATTCCCTCATTTCCCACCAGCAAATTAAAAAACCCCACATTTACAGCCATCTGTTTTGTTTTGTTTTCCTTTCTGTTACCATGGAGGGAAGTTTCCCTCTCCCCATCAAAAGCCTGAACTTCCACTTATGCTAACAAGTTCTATCTAGTCTCTCAAAGCCATCAACTCTTTTGGTTATCATTTCTCTACTGTTTCTTCTGCCACACTTCCCCTTACTCATCACACTCCAGCACACGGCCTTTGACAGTCTCAAGAAAAGACCAAGCTCTGGCCTGCCTTGGGGCTTATAAGATACAGACTCTGCATGAACGCAAGTCCCAACTCCCTTCTGTGGTTAGCTCTTCCTCACCTTTTAGGCATCAGCTTACATATCAACCCCTCAGATAGATCTTCATTTTTCTAACTAAAAGTGCTTCCAAATCCTCCTTCCTTGCCATTATTCTCCATTTTAAACTTCTTGATTGCCTCCTTATTGCATCTATAGTCATTTGAAATGCTTATTTGTCCATTTACCCGACTTTGGTCTACTTTTCTCCATTAGAATGTAAGCTACATGGAGCTGGGTATCATTTTGGTTACCATTTTTTGTCCAGGACCCAGCACTGTGCTTTGTGGATACTTGTCACTAAAATAAGTTTATCTATGAAGTGCTCTACTGAATGAGTTTTGGCGTCTTTTCCAAGTTGATGATTTTACAATACTGATAGAGTTACTGGCCATCTTAATGACCAAGAAATCTCACTTACATGTCCACATGCTCGACAATGATGCCTTCTCCTTGTCAGTGCGTTGAAAGGCTCTTTGCATTTCATACACATCGTTACTTCATTATCTCGGATCCATCTTGGGGCTCTTTTCCCTAGCTCAGCAGTCTAAAAAGGGAAGAGAGATTCAATTTTAACAGAAAAGAACTGTCGTTTCCTTCCTTCCTGCCTGCCTTCCAAGCACTTTAACAACATTGCTCATACCCTGTTCTGGTAAAGAAGTAAAAGGTTCAAAGAAGTTTAAGCAGTATAAAAAAGGCACTCACTATTACATTCATCTAAGAAGGAATGAGATTCTGTCTAATAGCCAGTTGTGAAGGAAAAAGACTAGATAACAAAATGACCAGATAGATCTTTTGTAATTGCAAAGAGCCTAAAGTTAAGAATTTAATTCAACTTACAGAAACCTCTGACTGAATGTCATTATCCTTTGCAATCGCATTTCTGAAGGTTTCATACCTCTGATGGAAAGCATCGATAGTCTCTTGAAGGGCCTAAAATATAAATAAAATTCAAAGCACGCATTAAAGTATCACATGAAAATTTATTAAAATACTATATTAAGCAAATATCTATGATGGGAATCACTTTAAAAATTAAATGACCTTGCCCTGGCCTGCAAGGCTTGGTGGTTACAGCGTTGGCCTACACACTGGAGGGTCGCAGGTTTGGTTCCCAGTCAAGGGCACATACCTGGGTGGCAAGTCCGATCTTGGCCCCTGACTGGGGGGCGCATGTGGTCGACAACCAACCCAGGTGTCTCTGTCATATTGATGTTTCTGTCTCTCTCCTCTTTCTCTTTCTCTCTTCCCTTCCCCCCCCCTCCCTTCCACTCTCTCTAGGAATCAATGGAAAAAATATCCTCACTCATCGGGTACAGATTTAAAAAAATTTAAATGATCTTGATCCGATGACTACATGTGCACAATACAACAATATCTGCACGTTTGCATACACACACAGAGATTGCCAAAACAAAAACTAAAAATAGAAATAAGGTTTACCTTGATCCATTCTTCTTTGTCTTGTTCAGAACTAAAACAAAACAAAATTAAACTGAATGCAGAGACCATTAATGAGTTACACCTGGTGAATAAAACTATGTTTTAATGTTCTTCCAACTTTCTGGAAAACTCAGGGATGTCCAAGAAAGAGTTACAATTAAAATTAAACAGACTCTCTGGCAATTGAACAAATAAATTCTTGAACAGAGTTTTAGAGGCTCTACTTACTTTGGAACAGATAATTTTTGATGGGGAGAGATAAGTTTACCTTTTACAATAGAATGCCCTGGCATTAAGTTTAACTACCATCATCTAGTTATAGACATTAGGCACTGGATATACAAGCTTCAATTCACCTTTATAAAAGCACATGGGGCCTTTAAAGGCTATGGGCCACAGCCCACCTTAAGAAAGATTATAATTAGCTTTGAGAATCTAAAATATCTTTGTAAGGTTTTAGGGAACTATTTAACACTAGTGCCCTTGTGCATGGATTTGTGCACATTGAAAGGAAATTAATTAGAAGGTGGCCAGCAGGGCGGGACTGGGTGAGATGGGCTGGACATGCCCTGGAGCCAACCTCCCGAGGTCCCTCCCCAGCGGCTACACCTGGGGCGGTGCTGAGGCTAAAATAGCATCTGCAGAGTGAGCAGGGTCCCTCCAGCAGGTGGTGTCCCTCAGCCTGGCCTGCGGGGATTGGGCCGAAACCGGCTCTCCGACATCCCCCAAAAGGTCCTGGATTTCGAGAGGGCGGTTCTTGGGTGACACACCCTGAAATCAGGCTCCCTCCTCTCTGGTTCCAGGGTGTGTCACCTGAGAACCACTGCTGCCAAGTCACTGCAGCTCGGCAGCTCCTGCATCGAGCGTCTGCCCCCTGGCGGTCATAGCTACTGGTCGGATGGTCGCTTAGCCTTTTATATATATATAGATTCCCTTTGATGAACAATTTAATTTTATTCTGCTAGAAGGCTTCAGGCAATACCATACCTAATCAATTACAGATAAAGCAAAACAAACAGTTTAAATGCCTGTAGGAAGGAAGTTGCACAGATTAATGGACCCCAATATTTAATAACGTTTTACTGAGAAAAATTTCCCTTGACTGTAATCAAATCCCCTGGTTTTCCTGTTGAGGCCAATTTTTTTTTTTTTGAGGCCAATTTTCGTAATTCTATTCTCTCTTGCAGGTAGCTTACAGAGCTGGTTGTTGTCATACAACTATCTTAGAACAATCCCCGTTAGTAGACTCTGGACTAAGATCTCCAAAGAGTGGGCTCTGTTTGCGTGTGTTGGGTAGGTGAGGGCTAAGGTTGAGTTCTGCCTGAATGTCACATGCCTTGGTCCCACAGGGATCACACATGCATGAGTCTGGCAGAAGGTTTGCTCCTATGACACTGTCCATCCTTCCAGTACATTTATTTTTGAGTACCACAATGTCCCAAGAATGCTGCTGGAATCTGTAATTATAAAATGAAAGATTCTGCTTATTGTTCATCTGGGGATCCTTGGTTGGTGGGAGGTGTGGTGTGATATCAATCTTTCCCCTCAAAAAAGATTCTCCCTATTGTTGTGCACTGCCCCCACCGAATCAGCTCTAGGACCCTGAGAGCATCCGTGCATGCTTGCTGCTTTTAGCTTTTTAAATGCTAAGGAACTTGACAAGTCTTCAATCCTTTGTAGGTTACACTCACCAGAAACCTCGGAGGGAAAGCTGCCTTCCAACTGATGCCAGACACTCCCGCTTCTCCCGTTTGGGTCCGAGTCCCCAGCGATTCGCCCGTATCTGGAGCTCAGAGTCTGAGACTCCCCCCTGACCGAAAACGACAACCGCGCTCTCAGCCACCAGCCCGCTTTGCGCGCGCACCTCCGCACCTGAGTTTTTTCCACACTGCGCCTCCTCTGAGCCTCGGTGTGCTGTTATTTTTCCTTCTAGTTGAAGAGTCTCTCCTCAGCCAGCCTTCCTGTGGTTCTGGGTGATGTCCGTTCCGTCTTTTAGTTGTATTTTTGAAGTGGTTGTTTGCGGCAGCAGTCTGCGGTGTTTACCTATGCCGCCATCTTGGTCTCTCTGCTTTTAGCTTTTTAAATGCTAAGGAACTTGACAAGTCTTCAATCCTTTGTTTAGTTTACTCACCAGTATATTTTTATATCCATTCAGCAACCAACAACCATTAAATAAAAACTACAGAAACTAAGAATACTTTATATTCTTTTGAACATGGAAGGGTACACAGAGTATAAGAGGTCAGTCTTCAGGCTGACTCATTTAGCAAGAAAAGCAGAGCCCCTTTTTTCCCCCCTCAAGTGGCTTTAGAAGCAAATTCTCTTGAAATATCTCTAAATACATACCCAATTTGGGGTTCCATGTAATCCCACTAACACTCTTACTTTCTGGGACTTTCAATGTTTGTCTCCATTCTTGAGTCATTACAGACCAGATGACAAATAATCACTTAATTTTGATCTTCAATTTACCATATAATCATAAATAGAACTAAAGCAATGATATGAGGGGAATAAAACATTTGAGGAAAATGATCATGTTTCGATAACTAATTGGAACATATTCAATACCGCATATTGAAACTCTACAAAGTGATGACTACCTGCAGTTAAGAAAACTCCCCATGAACCAGCCCCACCCTAAAAACAGCCCAAGCTGCTAAAGAAAGGCTGGAGTCCCTGGTTAGGCACCCCAAGAAGCCTCATAATCTTCAGCTGCTCCGACACACCTCTTGGTTTATAGGTTTGGAAGTATGCTGACATTTCAGAGCTGGCAGCACCTTCATTCTTCCACAATGGAGACTCCTTTAACAACAATCAGAACTAGGGGAGTCCTCCTTGTTGCCAGGTCCAATCACCCAGTGAGTCAACATCTACATTCTTCTCTTGGGTTTGATGGCTGGAGCCCAAACCCCATCATGATAAGGTAGAAAAACCATGATATTCAAAGCCAAGTCCTCCATCATTTTAACTTGTGTTTGAAATGCCACCTTCGAATCCTTAGCTCAGTCCCCTGGCAGCCTGCCACATCTTCCATAACTGTAATTTCACCAGTTCCCTGACTGCCAGGGCACACATTCCTGCTAAAATGATTTACTCTTTTTTTTGAAAGTCTGAAGTTTAAGCTCTTTTGTGGTCACTGAGTACAAATATCCAGGATGAATTCACCTGAGCAGCCAGAACCACATGCTATTGGTGCAAAGGAACAGACGGGCTCTCTCTGACTCTCCACAGATTCTAGGATGTCAGACCATCAGTGCTGGGCCCTGGTCGGTGTTGCTCTGTGGTTTGAGCGTGCACCAAAGGGTCTCTGGTTCAATTCCCAGTTAAGGGCATGTATGTGCCTGGGTTGCAGGTTCGATCCCATGTGTGGGAGGCAACCAATTGAAGTGTCTCTCTCACATCAATGTTTCTCCCTCCCCCCCGCCTCTTCTACTCTCTCTCTAAAAATCAATGGAAAAATATCCTCGGGTAAGGATTAACAACAGCAAAAAGAACCATCAGTGCTCGGATTGGTACTTAACCCTCTGATCTGTGATGTTTTGGAGCCTCCCAATTTTCACCAGGCCAGGCCTTTATAGGATGAATAGATAACAGTCTTCTAAAGCAGGTATTTAAAACCCAACAGCACTCTGTCCTGCAGTGGTTCACGCATGAGGTAGCTGTGATCTACTGCAGTGGTTCTCATATTTTCTTCTTTCCAAACATGGTTATGCTAGGAGGATGGATGCTGGAATTCCAGCTCTTTCTCTTCCATTCAGTAAAGCATGTAAGAGGAACCATCCCTTCAGAATTCCTGGTCACTAGAGGCCACTACAGCCCCAAATGGCCTCCTTCATGTGTCCTCCAACTGTGGCAAGAGAATCATTACCTTTTCCAGCCTGCCTCCTTCGAACATTCTCTCCATCAAAGTGCTAATAAGTCCCATGAATGCAGAGCCTCTGAAGGACTGAGAGTTAAACCTCAACATTAAGGATGGGATAATAAGCATCAATGAACATGTGTGGACCAGAGGAAGATGGAGGGGAAAGGGTTAGGGAGAACCTTTTCCTATAAGACTCAAAATGTTGGCTTAAATGCAACAACTTCATTCTCTGAGCACCTTGTTAATCTAAAGAGTAAAAATAACTTACTGAGCATTAATTTCTGAAGACGACTATCCTAGGCACTGTGGGGGAATCAAAAGGGATGACATGATTCCTGCTTTTTAAGGGCTTCCATCTCTCCACTTATGTCCAACCAGACTGGCAGAGGTTTGTAGCATTCACCTGGGAAAGACTCAGCATTTTCTAATCTACAATTAATTCTGATGATTTTGAAAGCTGTGTGATAAGAATGGCTCTCTTACCTGGCTTGCAATTCCAGTGTTCTCTCTTTCCCAGATACCTGGAAAGTGTGCGGATATTCCTCATTGTGAGTCTCCACAATTTGCATTCCATCTAAGCCGACCCTGGTCCGAACTGTGAATTTGGAGCCCACCAAGCTGAATTTTGGCACACAGTACAGCAACATGTTGTTGAACTGCAAGAAGACAGAACACATATCAGTCAAGAGGAACACAAAGAGAGAAGAAAGTGACCAATACTGAAGGTAGCCCTACACAATATTCCAAGGACTTCCCAAGGGGTACCAGACTGTCTATGTGAGCAAAATTATTTAAATACTATACAGTATTGAGATTTTGTGTTTGCACCCAAATTATCATAGTTTAAAATGCATAGCTTATACTTTCCTTTGTTGGTTCATAAATATTTTATTGATATTTCAATAAACCAATCATTATTTTGAACTATTAAAGAAATTAATTAAATTCAGCAACATTTATATTAAGAACCTTTCATATACCAGCAACTGAAACTATCAACCCATAAAGTTGAAGTACTTAGAGAACAAAATTTCTAATTGTTATATCTTAGAGAGCAATTCTATAATAGCTGTTAGAGGAAAAGTTTAATATTTAGTCATTCTTTTTATCAGTGTATTTATTGTTAAGTTACTATATAGCCAAAATTATTAGTTTAAATTTTATTCAAACATGTGGGGTTAGCACATTGTCAATGTAAAAAAACAAAACAAAACAAAACAAAACAAAAACTAAGTCACTGTTTTATATTGACCCACATCTTGCTTAAAAATTCATCCCAGCCCTAACCGGTTTGGCTCAGTGGATAGAGCGTCGGCCTGCGGACTCAAGGGTCCCAGGTTCGATTCCAGTCAAGGGCATGTACCTTGGTTGTGGGCACATACCCAGTAGGGAGTGTGCAGGAGGCAGCTGATCGATGTTTCTAACTCTCTATCCCTCTCCCTTCCTCTCTATAAAAAAAAAAAAAAAATCAAAAAATCAAAAAAAAATTCATCCTATATGAATTAACAGAAAAGTCATCTATTTTAGTAAAAAAGTCTTTAAAGATTGTTATAGGATCTACTTTTAAAATGAAAAACTTTATTTTGAGCCCAGTCAAATTATGTGTAGTCCCTCTTTTCCAGTCAACAAGGAGCAGCTCCTGCTCATCAGGCCCAAGCAATGAGTGACTTTGGGAGGGCAATTAGTTCCCTTCGAATGTGTTAAAATATGCAAAAGGATGAAAGAGTAAATATTTGGGTTAATTTGTGGGAAGATCCATACCTATATTCCTACTTCATACTTATTGTTTCTAGGGTTACATATATTTTTTAAAGACACGAGCAACTGGAACTTAAACCCTTATGTACCTTGTAACCTCTCATGTCTCAGGATCATTCTTTGTAAAAGTTACAGGTTGTTGACAGAATTCAAAGAGGAAAATGTCTGGTTCTACAAGCTCCTCTCTTTGGCTCCACACAGCCATAAAGACAAGAAATGGTGATGGACAGTTAAAGATATTTCCACATGTTTATGTGATACCATCCTTTGTACTCATTCTGAAAGCCAATTTCTCACCAGTTGTTCCTCATACATTATTTTGCAACTTCCTGTAACCAGTGTCAGAAATTTCATTTCCACAACTGGATAATGTAGAAATAAAAGGATACTAAAATTTTATCAGATATATCTCGACACCACATTTCGCATTTACATTTCTAGAAGAGAACACTAAGGGGATTAATGACCCCCGCCTTTGTCATGTCTGCTGTATTCTAACTATGGCAATCAGAGCCTCACTGTAACACCTGGGATTCAGATTTGAAACCACACTGCAAGGTTCTCAGCACCATCCCAGCTTGATTAAGGCACCAGCTCGCCTGCTACCTGTTCGTGTTTAACATTTCTTTCTCTCTTCTAAGCCTTCCGGAAGGGATTTGGTCACACTGTGAATGGTGCAGGACAAGCTGCACCAAAATGGACAGGGCTCACACATTCAAGATGGCAACAAGAACCATTTTTTTCTGCATACTGAGTGACAAATGTAATGTTCTGTACTCAAGTTCACTTTATAAAATTCAGCAAAGTCTTATTATTTTATAGAAACACAAGTTGATAAATATGGAAGTTCTCAGTATTTGCTTTTTGGAGTTATGCTCATACAAGATGATAGGCTTTTTTAAAAAAAAACACTTATGCTCATACAAGATGATAGGCTTTTTTAAAAAAAACACTCTTTCTTTCTTTCTTCCTTCCTTTCTTCCTTCCTTTCTTCCTTCCTTCCTTCCTTCCTTCCTTCCTCTTTCTTTCTTTCTTTCTTTCTTTCTTTCTCCTTCCTTCCTTCCTTCCTTCCTTCCTTCTTTCTTTCTTTCTTTCTTTCTTTCTTCCTTCCTTCCTTCCTTCCTTCCTTCCTCTTTCTTTCTTTCTTTCTTTCTTTCTTTCTCCTTCCTTCCTTCCTTCCTTCCTTCCTTCTTTCTTTCTTTCTTTCTTTCTTTCTTCCTTCCTTCCTTCCTTCCTTCCTTCCTCTTTCTTTCTTTCTTTCTTTCTTTCTTTCTTTCAGTTTATTGATGTTTAGAGGAAGAAGAAGGGAGAGGGAAAAACATCGTTTGGCTGCCTCCTGCATGCCCCCTACCAGGGATCAAACCTACAACCCTGGCATGTGCCCTGACCTGGAACTGAACCAGCAACCTTTTGGTGCATGGATGATGCCCAACCGAGCCACACCGGCCAGGGCCTGACTATCTTATACTGAACTAGAGGCCTGGTGCACGAATTCGTGCACAGGTGGGGTCCCTCGGGGAGGCCTGCGGAGATCGGGCCCGAGATCGGGCCCCAACTCACGCCCCCAGCCTCTCAGCCCCGCAGCCCTGCCTTGACCTGGCACCACCCCCTCAACTGCTCCACCATCCCACCTGCGGGGCGATCGATCGGGGCTGGGTTCCCCAGGTGCTGAGGGAGCCAGGTGGTGGGCCCTGCCCCCTGCTGCTGGTTGCCATCGGTGGGGCGATTGGGCCCCCGCTCGTACCTGCCTTGACCTGGTGCTGCCCGCTCACCTGCTCCACCATCCCACTGCGTCCCGCTCTCGTCGGGGCCCATCAGGGCCAGCAGCGCCTCCACTGCCGCCCGCTGCCAGTGCCGCATCATTGATGCACGCCATGTTCCATGCCACCCCCTGGTGGTCAGCACACATCATAACAAGCAGTTGAACTCCTGGTCGAACTCCCAGTTGAACAACCGCCCGAGGGGACAATCTGCATATTAGGCTTTTATTATATAGGATGATATATTTCTCTTCCTCTTTCATGTTTTCAGGATTACATTTCCCCTATTATATTCTTCCTAAGTGGAACTTCATATTCATATTGTCAATAACTATATATTAACCTTTTATTACTTAGGTCACAATCTAATGCTAGTCAATAAATACTCCTTTTCTTCTTCCCAGAGATGAAGGTGAGAGCTCTTGAAGGAGACAGAATATTGCTTACAAAGAAGTGGATGCCATATCTGTAAAGGAATTAGGTATCTAGCCCTGCTCCCTCCGTGGACCTTGTTCCTGTGGCAAAAGCCACCGTCACCTTCTCTCTTGGTTCCCATGGACACTGAAAGAGGAAGTTAGAGCAACTGTAACTCTAAGTAGATCAACTTTCCTTTTCAGTGTAGGGGTTCCTCTTTATTCCATGCCCATAGCTCAGAAGCAGATATTGACAAAGCAATCCCTGGCTGGCGAGGTACGCTCTGGAGGTGCCAGGCTGGGCCCAAACCTAGAAGCAAGTCTCAAGTTTATTAAAAGTGTAGGGAAGTGCCTCCTTCTTGATCTCTAATATTCCTCAATTATTTATTTCAAGTTTCTTAAAATGTATTTATTTGAATGAAATAATTCAATTTCATGTCTCAATAGTGACTGTTCCATTAAAGTTTGGGAAAGTAAAAGTACATTGTTGGAGAAATTTCCAGAGCCTAGTCTGTATTCAAAATTTAAATGAGTTGGGGTTGGGGGAGGGTGGGAATCTAAATCTATCAAGCTACAAGGAAATAAGAAATAGAACTCCAAAGGGTCAAGAATAAAACCTCTTGGGTCATTTTATACTTTATAGGATAATTCAGATACTTTTTTTTTTTTTAAACTTTCAGATGTCAGTTGTGGTTATTTACTTAATCAACAGAATACCCTACCATTGATATATACGTATATATGGTGCGGAGATAAGCAAATTTGCAACACACACAAAGATTTGAAAGCTGATATCAGATTCTAAATATGATTTGGCTTTTCAGATAAATGTAACATCCCCAAAGTAGGAAACAGAAAACTGGCCCTCATTTTCTTTCTGGAGAGAAAGGAAAATAAAAATGGTACTTCAGAAGTTTCTACATATGAAAAAACCAAGGATGCTCTATGGGAATTAGAGTGTGCTAGCCAGAGGAGAGACTCTGTGACAAGTACAGTATTAGAGGGGGAGGATTAGAAGAACAAACACTAGAGGAAATGCTTCTAAGATGGTCTTCAAAAGATGAATGTGGCATTTCTAAAATCCCTGCTGTCTCACTTTATTCTCCCTGGAGGCAAATGCATCATGAGAACATGCACTGGAACAGGAGGGTCCTTGCCTCAAAGTTACTACTGCTTTATCCTCCACTTTATCCCCCGCCCCCCCAAAGGCTCTTTGCCCCCTGTCCTCCAAATAGCTGCTTAATTGGGCTTTGCACCAAGGTATGCAACCTAAAACTATTTCCAGAACAATCCTCAAACGTGTAAATTAAACTAAGGCAAGTGGTTAAAAGTTTAACTGCAGAAACTATAACACTAATGTGAAAGAGAAGAAAACTTACCTAAGTACCTAAAGGCTTGGTAATGACAAAGGGAAGAAAGACATTGACTCCAGGCATTTTGCCCAGAAGAGTGTATTATGCATGTCTCTTTAATCTGTATTTCTGATGCTCTGACATCTTTGTTTTTTAAAATATATTTTCATTGATTTCAGAGAGGAAGAGAGAGGGAGAGAGAGATAGAGGCATCAATGATGAGAGAGAATCATTGATTAATTGCTGCCTGCACGCCCCCTACTGGAGATAGGGCCCACAACCCGGGCATGTGTTCTGACTGGAAATCAAACCATGACCTCCAGGTTTGTAGACTGACGCTCAACCACTGAGCAACACCGGCTGGGTGATGTTTTGACATCTTGGGACCTTGCCGACCCTGAAGGGACTGCCCTCCCAGGGTTACCCCATTTCCAGAGCCAGGAAATGACTCACCTGCAAGCAGGCCTTTCCAATGGGAACCAACCTATCCAGAGTCCACATACCCTAAAGCCTCCTTTATCAGGCTCTCACTAGCTGAGTCAGAATTGCCCTGCCCTGATCACCTAGGGCCAGGTCCCTGACAACAGCCCCTAAGCACCAGAACCTGATAAAATTATGTACACTGGCAAATCCTAAACCTGTTCCCCCTGCCTGGCCCATTCCTTCTTGCAGAAATCATAGTAAAACTCTTGCCCATGTTTTCTGCTTGTTCCCTGCCCCCGCCCCCTCCTCCTCCTTTGGGATCTGTAGCATAACCATCTTTTCAATGGCAATCATCTCCAATCTGGTGGCCTCACCACACCTAAACAACAAAATCTACATTTCAAAATAAATAGACCCCTGAACCCTGATAGGACATGTCCCTGATTTATATGTAGGTCTCTTTACAACTTCTGAAAGGTGAAGTGCTTCTGCTGAGCTCAAATGATTTTTATAGTTAATTTAGACAATATCTATGTATTTTTTAAAGTTACTGAAATATAATTTATATACCATAAAATATATTCTTTTAAAATGTATAATTCATGGCTTTTAGGATAGCCATACATTGTGCAGTGACCACTACCATCTAATTCCAGAACATTTCATGACTTCAAATGGAAACCTTGTGTCCACTTCCTCCTCCCACCAACCCTAGGTAACCACTACTTACATCCTACCTCTATGCATTTGCCTATTCTGGACATTTCATATGAATGGAATCATGCAGTGTGGCCTTTTGTGAATGGCTTTTTTCATTTGACACAATGCTTTCAAAGTCATCCACGTGTGAATGGCTTTTTTCATTTGACACAATGCTTTCAAAGTTCATCCACGTAGCATGTATCAGTTTATTCCTTCTTATTGATGTATCATGTTCCACTGCATGGATATACCACATTTTGTTTGCCCATCATCAGTTAATGAACATTTAGGTTGTTTAGACTTTTTTACCTGTATGAATAATTTTGCTATGAACATTCATGCACACATTTTGTGTCGATGTATGTTTTCAAGTTTCTTGAGTTATACAAACTTGGAGTGGAACTGCTGGGTCATATGGCGATCATGTGTTCTTTTGTTCAAAAATGAGACCACTCCTCTGCATGACAATTAGTTCCTAGAAATTTCCCATTTAAGGAAATTATAACCAGACAACAGAAACTTCTAAGCCCCCAATAACAACTCATATTATAATGGTGAGATGACTGCCTTGCAGCAGAAAAGTCAGATGTGAGTAACATCCTGAGACTGGATGGTGTGCCAGTCACTGAGCAGCGTCTATGCCAATGTCTCTCTGTTTCTTTGCCTATAATAACAATCGCAATAATAGCTAACGTTTACTGAGCTATCACTCAACGTTAGCTTTCTGCTACTAAATGTTAGCTATTACGATGATTGTCATATCATTAGATAGGAAAAGGAGCTGGAACTACCAGTGACTAAAAATAAATCGCCTGGATTCCCAGGAGAGATCTTACATGTCAGCCAAGCCCCAGACTAATGGTTATTTCAGGAAGTGCAGGCAGGGACAGGCCTGACTGCAGTGACAAGGAACTATGGAGCAAACTCGTACTTTTCACATACGAATTGTAGGTGCACGTTTTCCAACATAGCTTATATACTTCTTCAAACTAGAAAGGCTAAAAAGTAATGTTTAGAAATGACTAGGAAGAAAACTGTTGTCAAGAAATAATATGTTGACACAATATCCACGAAACAGTACCTTTTAGCCTGTAAGAATGAAAGGAGAAGAAACCAGGTGTGTCATACCTCATACACACACACACACTGCTGGCTATGACCATCATGGAAAGGCTCACTTGTCTTCAGGATGTGTTACCAGAGTAAATTACATATGGCAAATACACAGAAAAATTATAGAAAAATACTTCAAAAATAAAGATTTGTGTCCTTGAAAGAACAACTTTCAGTTACTGAGGACTTTCCCGATGTGGAGTCTTGACAGTGGTGATGGCACCAGGTTAGATACCATTGTTCAGGAGAGCGGGCAAGCATCCTAGTTTTCCAAGATGTATATAACAATGCTTATAAATTATTCTTAAGCAATCTGCTCACACGACAATACTCACTAACAAAAGGTAGCGTTCCTGTGCTGATGTGTTCCGAGCAGCTAGTTTAAGGATCTGTCCTTCTTTTATTAGTTCATTGGAAGGATTTACAATGTCTTCCTCTTCTCCCAGCATTTCATAAATCTCTAAGAGTTTCTTTAGGTTATCCTAAGAAATGAAAACAAAGCACAGCAACATAAAATATAAGGAGGTTTCACCTTAGTGGTTTTTTTTTTTTTAAACATATTTCTTTATTGACTTCAGAAAGGAAGGGAGAAGGAGAGAGAGATAGAAACATCAATGATGAGAGAGAATCATTGATTGGCTGCCTCCTGCACACCCCCAACTAGGGAACAAGCCCGCAACCCAGGCATGTGCCCTTGGCTGGAATCGAACCTGGGACCCTTCAGTCCACAGGCTGATGCTCTATCCACTGAGCCAAGCCGGCTAGGGCACCTTAGTGGTTTTAATAATACAATAACCTTAGCTAAAATATGAATAACTCAGAAGCAATTGGAACTAAGCATAAATTTTGGTATAAAATACGTCACTTATGAGAAAATTAAGAGGTTATTACAGATAACATTAAACAGTTTATAAACAATCCTTTTTGTTTATCTGTACCAATTCATTTTGATACAAACTTTAGATAATATTAGGCTATATTACTGGCAATTATTTAACTAGAAGATTCCCGTCTCCTCTTACCGCTTACCATTTTTCTTATTGCACTATTAGAATGGCTTGCTGCTGTAGATATAATTTCCAGTGATTCTAAATGGATAAAAATAAAATAAAATAAATATGTTATCTTTACTATGCTACTAGATAGCTGAATAACATACACTTTACACTACAATAAGAAGAAATCTGGAAAAAGAAAAAAAGAAAAGAAGCAGAAATCTGAGACCCAAGATCTATAATAATAAAAGCATAATATGCTAATTAGACCAGACGAAGCCAGGGCTACGACAGAAGTCCAGGGTCCTGGGTGCCTGCTGGCAGCCGGAGGAAAGCCTGGGTCCCAGGTGCCAGAGGGAAGCTGGTGCCAGCAACCGGGGGAAGGAATGCCTACTCTTTCGTGCATTGGGCCTCTAGTACATAATAAAAGCAGGAGGCAATTTCCATTTACAAACTGGATACAGATACTCCTCAGGTTATATCGTTTCGTGGTTATGTTGCCATCTCCCATCCTATATAATAAAGAGGTGATATGCAAATTAATCCTCACATCCTCACAAGATGGCTGTCTATGACTAGGCCGGCAGGGGGGGTTAGTGAGGGACAACCAAATGACTTGACAGTGGTGATGGCACCAGGTTAGATACCATTGTTCTGGAGAGCGGGCAAGCATCCTAGTTTTCCAAGATGTATATAACAATGCTTATAAATTATTCTTAAGCAATCTGCTCACACGACAATACTCACTAACAAAAGGTAGCGTTCCTGTGCTGATGTGTTCCGAGCAGCTAGTTTAAGGATCTGTCCTTCTTTTATTAGTTCATTGGAAGGATTTACAATGTCTTCCTCTTCTCCCAGCATTTCATAAATCTCTAAGAGTTTCTTTAGGTTATCCTAAGAAATGAAAACAAAGCACAGCAACATCAAATATAAGGAAGTTTCACCTTAGTGGTTTTAATAATACAACAACCTTAGCTAAAATATGAATAACTCAGAAGCAATTGGAACTAAGCATAAATGTTGGTATAAAATACGTCACTTATGAGGAAATTAAGAGAAGGTTATTACAGATAACATTAAACAGTTTATAAACAATCCTTTTTGTTTATCTGTACCAATTCATTTTGATACAAACTTTAGATAATATTAGGCTATATTACTGGCAATTAT